ACCCAGCCCTGCTCTGTTTTCTGTGGCTGTGAGAACTTGAGATTGCCGGTGTATAGTCTACACCTCAATTTCCTTTTCTACAGTGTATTAACTTGAAAAGGAGATTTTTGCATCTACAGAGCTCAGCAAAAGCAGTCCCATTAGCAAGACTCATAGCCCGGCCTGTAATCTCAGTGGCTTGGGAGGCTGAGGCAGGAGGATTGTGAGTTCAAAGCCAGCCTCATCAATGGTGAGGCTCAGAGCAACTCAGTGAGACCCTGTCTCTGAATAAAATACAAAATAGGGCTGGGGATGTGGCTCCGTGGTCGAGTGCCCCTGAGTTCAGTCCCCAGTACCAAAAAACAAGTTAAAAAAAAGATAAGAAACAAAAAAAAGAAAATTGGAATCATAATGCTTTTTTAGATGCATAGTTGTAACAGAAAATAGCATTTCAGATTTTGGAGCGGGGGGAGGGCAAGGGTAAAGCAATGGACAAAGTAGTATTGGACTTCCCTGGTGCAGAGTTCATGAAGGGCTGGAATGGGATCCTCTCCTGTCCACGTCGTCAGCAATCCACAGTTCAGTAAAAGGGTTGGGCCAGATCTAGGAAGATGAGCCAGGTATCTCACGAGGTCTCTCCGAAGGATGTAACCTTTTGCTGTGAATTCCAACTCTGCTTGCAGTTTGAGAATGAGTTGATCACCAAGCTGGATCAAGAGGTAGAAGGTGGCCGAGGAGATGAACAATACAAGGTTCTATTGGAGAAACTGTGAGTATCTCCGAGACAGGACCTCAGGTTGGTGGCACCCTTTGACAGCGGGGAAGGGCAGGGTCTCTGCGGCATGCAGTGCAGGCAAGCAGTCTCAGAATCTCTGGGTCACACACCCCCCCAGTGGTCCTTGGTGAGTTGACAGATTGGATGGCACCCACCGGGGACACTGTCCATCTCCTGCAAGTCTATGCCTGTGTTGTCCTGACCAGCCTCGAGCTGGAGAACAGAGCAGAGGGGAGAGAGGAGGAGATGCACGTAGCTGTGGCTCTTTGGCAGAGTTTGTATTTCTGAACCTCAGTAGCAATGTTAGCACCTCTAATTATGGCTTTAAAACAACCAGTTAAAGGAAAAACATTTCAAGGTCCACTTGATACCTCATGCCCCACAAGTGACCTTTAGGAACAAAGCAGTTGCCTCACCTGGTGCCCCATACCCGTAATCTCAGTGACTCGGGAGGCTGAGGCAGGAGGATTGAAATTCAAGGCCAGCCTCAGCAACTAGGCGAGGCCCTAAGTAACTTACCAAGACCCTGTCTCAAAAAAAAAAAAAAAAAAAGAGGATGTGGCTCAGTGGTCACAAGTTCAAAGCAAGACTCAGCCACTTCACCAGGCCCTAAGCAACTAGGCGAGGCCCTAAGTAACTTACCAAGACCCTGTCTCAAAAAAAGAAAAAAAAACTGAGGATGTGGCTCAGTGGTTAAGTGCCCCCGGAACATCCCCAAATGCTCAGTTACCTCATCCCCTCCCCCCCAAAAAAAGAATAAAGCAGTTATAACTGCAGCCAGCTGGTCTTTCCACTGCCCCATCCTCTGTCTCACTCAGCACATCCATTCCTTCATCAGAATGCACCTCCGCACTCATGTCACCTCTTGCTTTCTTTATTCTTTCTCTTTTATAAAGAATATTAAAAAGGCCAGGTGCAGTAACACATACCTGAAATCCTAGCAGCCAGGGAGGCTGAGGCAGGAGGATCACAAGTTTAAGGCCAGCTTCAGCAACTTAGCTAGGCCCTAAGCCACTTAGGGAGACCCTGACTCTAAATAAAAAACAAGCCGGGCACCGTGGCGCATGCCTGTAATCCCAGTGGCTGGGGATGTGGC